TACGTTGCAAGGGCGGCCGGAGAGGAACAGGAGGATGCGGAGGTGTTGGTGTGTTGGCAACCCGGCCAACAGCAGCGGCCATTCTCGAGGTAGGGTGACTCGAAGGGAGCACCAGCACCACCATAGGCCCCACCACATGTGGTGGTGGTGCTGTTCACCGTGGAGGGGATTTGGTTGGGACGCTGGGCGAAGGGGATCGCGTTGAGGAGGTTTTTGCGTTCCACGTGATCACGAATGCGTAGCAGCTCCTCATTGAGGAAAGCCAGTCGTTCGTCTGCGGGAGGGGAGAGGCAAGAATAGGAAAGTCAAGTGGAGTCGGCGCAAATCTGATTGTTTGACCGGGTACAATTTCCATCCCTCTGACGACGACCTGGTGTGCCGGGGTCGAAACTTAAAAAAAAAACTTGATTGTGGACACATCAGGCAAACCAACACACCGGATTCATCAAATTTTGACTCGAATTCGACCTCAACTAAGGATTTCCACATTGACACTTAAGATATATGTTTCCTTTTTTGATTCCGAAAGGAATATCTGGGTCAAAAAATTGCGGATTTCTCCTAAAAATCCAAGGCGCGGTCTGTATTTCGAGCAAATTTCCGAAAATTGCGAAAGACTGATAATCACTCGCAAACCAACATCAAGTAGGGTTGTCATAAAGCTTAGCGTGCAGCCTAATCTCAAGTCAATTCAGTCACTGCAGGATGCCGGCTTTTTAACGAGCTTCTTTCTTACCGCTTGCAGAAAGCATATTCTATAACAAATGGCTACCTGAGTAGTATGCATTTTAGCTTGTTGATTTTGATTACCCTTATAAATTCAAATAGATTTTACAGCAAACATAAACGAGAAAAATATTTCTTGTACTCATTTGATAGAAAATTAGGCCTTCTTCAAATGTTACACTCGAGGGAAGAGTATATTTCACTTTCTAAAAAAATTCTATATATGAGTTTTTACGACTGTGAAATTTTCATTGATAATTCACCGTATCCGTCAATTTATTAATGTTGTCCATAATGTGTACAACATAATCCACAGCTATTGCAAAATTCTATCAGAAATATACGACCTCTTCCGCACACCATAGGGAAAGACGCATTTTTCCTTGCATCGGATGTACTTAACCTGCAGTTTCGAAACCTCGAATTCAGTTGTAACGGCTAATAGGTTTGAAAATTATTCAGCCATTTATAAGCTTTTTTTTAGAACCAAACTGTATACTTCCTTTAAGTATGAACTTTGAAGAAGGCCTAATTGTCTATCAAACGAGTACACGAACGAATAATTTTGTAAGTATTGTTTGTATAAATGTACTTGAATTTATAAGGGCAGGCAAAACCAATGAGTTAGCTACTTACGTAGATATTTTGTACAGCATATGCTTTCTGTAAGCGGTAAGAAAGAAGCTCGTTAAAAAGCCGAAATCCAAGCGTGACTAATAAGGCTTGAGATTAGGCTGCGCGATAAGCAGTATTGTAACCTTACTCAGTGCCGGTTTGCGAATGATTATCAATCTTTCGCAACTTTCGGAAGTTTGCACGAAATACGCGCCGTACTGTAGTTGCTTTCTATAACACTTAAATTTTTGTTGTAGAACAATAAACCTGTTGTTTGGTGTAAGTGGCGATCGGTAGTTCGTCGCAGTACTGTGGTCTACAATTACCTACTCCTTTATACTCCCGATCAAAAACCGACAAGACATCGGGCCCGTTAGCTCAATGATTAGGGTGTTTGCCTCTGACCGGAGAGACGCGGGTTCGAAACTCGAGTGTGGCAGCAATTTCAGCGGCTACACTGGAGTTGGGTAACGCGAGCTGACGACGGCTAATAAGCCAGAAATAGTTATCCTAGCGTCCTTGTCTTTGTCGGTAATACCTAAAAATAAATCGCAGTATTCAGGTTGTTTTGGATTTTCATGATTCACTGTTAGTTTAGTTATTTGAATAGACGCGACCGAAAACAAAATCTGTGTCAAAAGACAATCGGAATAATTGGGATATTCTTTATGGTTATTCAGGGTAATTAGAGAGCAGTCGTGCGAACGACGCAGATGCGTGGCTGTCAGTTTATTAGCGAATAAGGACATGAGACAAAGAACCGAGGGTCAGCCAACGAATGCGAAGGTCGAAAACGAGATCAAAGGGCACAGGACATGGGGAATCGATAGATAATAAGGACACATGCTTCGGCTAAGTCGGGTTAATAACACACAGTTGCTAGCAGATATGAATATCACAATATGAATATCACAAGTAGTGCTGTCTACATTGGTGAGGCAAGCTTCGATAACCTCTTGTCTGTATTCGGTGCAGATCAGTGCAACGGCCTCCCGGTAGAAGCAGAGGTCGCATGTAGAAGGGGTCAGCAAATAGCTTATTGGACTTTACGGTGTAGCGGTCTAAGTATTTACAATCATCAGGCCAAATCCGCAGGTTGAAGTTAATAGGCAGAAGTCACCAGAAGGCGTAATTTATTGTGTGTAGACCTCTCAGTTGCAGTTTCAGATGGCAGTGGCCACTGGCTAAGCCAGGGCTAGTGTTGACTGCGTCCAGCGATACCTGAGAGAGCACGGGACAGAGGTGGCAGCTGCTTAGGTAGGAGTGTGGAGCAGGTTCAAGTGCTAGGTTATTGGTGTATTGCAGTTGGCCGAGGGAATATCGCCTGTAAAGGCTCCCTGCTGCGTTGGCCAAGGAGGTGGCATGTTAAGTGACCCGCAGGAAACCGCGACTAGTTGGGCACGTGTGTAAATGAGTGTGTGCGCACGTATGTGTGCGACTGAATATCGGTCAAGTGGTCTTCAGGCCAGCAAGTGGGCACGGCCGCCTGCAAAGACAAATGATGTTGACGCAGAAAGCATTGGGAGGGGGAACAGTCTTAACGGGCATCCGCCAGTGCTTGACTTAGATGAACCGTCACACTTTTCTAATAAATGGTGTGACACTACTGCTATATAAAAATAAGAAACTCATCCCCGAGACAACACCATTTCTGTTAAGCTCTCTCTTCTCTTTGTTTAGTATGGATGCATATACTGCCTAGCCTGGAGCTTTTTAAAGAAGCTTTTCATCGGACTTGAAAAACCACATTGACCAGCGAACACAGCCTCTAAGCATGACGTTGGACTCCCTGCGTCATATGAGGGGTACAACCCATTCGGCTAGTCTTTTTCATTCCGGAGTCTGAGTGTGCTCCAAAAAATATTTCTCTATTGTTTACCGTCTGGGTCTAAAATTGGAGGCGATGACATCAGTTTGTACGATAGTACTGCCGGCTGGAGACTGGAATGGCCATTTCTGGCTTATTAGCCATTGTCAGCCAGTCATACCCAGCCCCAAGTGGTGCACCATTCAAGGTTCGAACTCGTGACCCCTTTTTGATCAGAGGCATACACTCTCATCATTGAACCACGAGTTCATTGTCTTGCCGGTTTAGGTCGGGGGATATTGGCACTCGTTGATGAACGTTTACCAACCGCTAACGGAACTCACCCGTCCCGCTCTGCAATGGGTCCTGACAGCCGTAACAGCTGGTAGTAGGCAGACAGTATTGCAGACAAAGACAAGGGACACTGGGATGAATATTTCTGACTTATTAGCCGTCGCCAGCCGTCCCGAGGCCCAAAACAGAGCGGAACAGATGAGTTCCGTTAGCGATCAGGTGAACCTTCATCAAAGAGTATCAGTTTGTCTGGCCAACCGGTTGTCAATACTGGCTGTAGTGATGAGGATGAGGTGAATTGGAACCATTAACAGCAAACACTGAAGGTAATTAGCGGTCATACACCCGCTCCCGTCAAGATTAATGAAGGCGCTCCTAATCAGTGTAATCCATTACAGGGCCAGATTACGTTCCGCGTTCATCAGAGCTGATTAGCAGACAAAAAAATGCGGGCATTATACTGAGCGCCTGCCGGCTAGAATACATGACAAAAGGCAACAGTGAGTGGATCAATATAGCGCAGTAATTTCCTAGCGCAGTGGGATAATTTCACTGGGAG